TGGGTGACTAGCCTGCCAGTTTAAGCTTGCCATGGCTGAGTGTGCAGCATCGCTCCTCTTTACACGCAAACTAAATGAAACGTTGAATTCAGCTCCTGCAGACAGTGTGGAGAGCTTTAGAAAGGAAGGACTTTCTCAACTTCAAAATAGCTCCTCTGATTGAAAACACAGAATTCTCTCTTTTTTTTTAAATACATACGAGCAGCCAGAGGTGGAAAGCAGTGTTGGAAGAAGTACTCGGATCCTTTGATTAAGTGAAAGCACAAACCTGTGGTCTCAAAATACTCCACTACAAGTCAAAGTGAAACTACAAACGTATTAGCATCAAATTGTACTTAAAGTATAAAAAGTAAAAGTACTCATTCTGCACAATTACCCATTTCAGAATAACACAAAGTACAGGATAATTATTAGCTCTGTACTCAAGAGTAAAAGTACTTGTTATGCAGAATGGCTCTCTTTGCAACAGTTTATTATTATTGTTTTTATTTTATCCTGTCTTTATACATGTAAGAGTATTTTAGTATTGTGGTTTGTCCATGTGTGTCTTTGAAGATTAGTAGTTCAGTGCTATCATGTGTTTTATTTGTACATGGTAACTGTACAAATTAAACATTTGCCATAATTAAGTACATTTTTGAGGTATATATTCTTTACTTGAGAATTTAGATTTAAGGCTACTTCATACTTTTACTCCATTACATTTTGGAAGCAAATATTGTGTTTTTTTATGAACTACAATTGAATTTGACAGGACTAGTTACTTTAGCAGGTTCATATAAAACATTTAACAACTAATACATTATGATTTACTATCATCGATGAAGATAGCTGACAAAAATGTGATCAACAAAATTATCCATCACTAATTTAATACAGTGGTAAAATGTATATTTGTATATTGAGTACTTTTAGATATGGTACTTATTTTTCTGCTGATATTTTTACCTACTTTGAACACAGATCTTAAGTATACCGCAGTGAAGAAATACTAAGCTCTGAGTACTTCTTCCACCTCTGTTAGCAGCTGATAACCATCTGTTCAACTATTATATGTTTTAGTGGGTAAGGATAACGTGGCATTTAAACACAAAAGGATGAGAAATGTTCCACAGTAAGTGACTCAGTGGCTGAAACACAGAAACACAACGGCTGAGAAGGGTTTTTTAGTAAAACGAGCTGCTGTGTCTGCGGCGTCTAAGCAGGCCACCCACCAGGAGAGAGGGTCTGAGGAATGCTTTTTACTGGATTGCTTGTCTTGTTCCCCCCCCCTCCCCTCACCTCAACCCCATCCTCAGACCTACAGTGTTTTTGTGTTTGTGTGTGGGCATGTGTTTGAAATCCCATTATATACATTACTTGGAAGAGAGGAGTGTGTGTTTGTGTGTGTAATCAATGTGTTTTTGTCTGCGTGCATGGATTTTCTCTGTGCACTGTGACCTCCAGTGTTGTGGTTTTGAGTTTCCTTTTTATCTTGTTGACAGACTATTTAAGGAAAAGCAGCACAAAAGGGCTTTTTTATTTCATTACTGTTGAAACAAACCTAAGACGATTAGTTGACTAGTCGATGTCAAGAGTGATAGGTGATACTTTTATATTGTGTTAGCTGTAATTTGGCCCTTCAGTAGTATTTTATTTCTCAGATAGTTTACAGATTCTTATCTTCACGTTCAACTTGTAAATGTTTTACTCCTGTTTAATTTCTATTTTGAAATGTTTCTATTTTATAATTGTTTATTTTCTACTCTTTTTATTTTCAAATGACGTGCAATGCCCTGTTTTATATGCTGCTATAACGAAAACATTTCCCAATTGTGGATCAATAAAGTACATCTTATCTTATATCCTATCTTAATATACCCCTATTACACCCACATTACTCCATCCCGTATTACACCGTTATAAAACCAATGTCACACCAACGTTACACCGTTATAATACCCATATGACACTGTAATTAGACCCATATTACACCAATATTACACCCTTATTTCACTGTTATTACACCCATTCTAAGCAGCCAGTCAAATGCCTGCTTCCACCAGGATACAGAAACCATTTAGCCTTTTGAACTATCTATTTAGTTATATAAAGCCTTTTATGCTCCAGAGGTAGAGAGTCTGATAAATTGCCTCAAGTGACTTCACTTTCTACTTTAGCTGCTACTCGCATTGGTCAAATTGCATTGTGGTTAGTGTAAACGCCAGGTTAAGACACTTGAAAGGCAATATCCCTGTTTGTGCTACATCAATTAATATCAGGTTGTTCAGGCATACTATCACAGACAGAACAAAACTCCTGCTGAAGCGTGCTCTTCTTTCTTTGGATCGTTTATTTAAGGGGTGATCGTTGGTATCATTTGATACTGTGAGTACTCAGTTTGTGATGGCTATCAAGTTCATATCTGATAGACTGGGTGTGGGAAGGGAGGTATTTTAGATGCTGGTTAGTTTGTTTTTGTCGGAGATGATTGACAAGGTAAATAAGTAGGGAGAGATACAGGACAGATGTTTCTTGTAATACAGGTCACAAGTATATTTGCTTTTACAAAGAGGTTTTTAATATACTCCATTCTGTGTGTTTTAGTGGTATTCTGTTTTCAAGTGAAAGCTCTTTGTAACTCTGTTTGAAAGGTGCTATATAAATGAAGTTCAAGGTTCAAGGCTTTTATTTGTCATACGTACATAGCTACAGTGTAGTTATGTCTATGAAAATCTTAGGTCACAGGCTCCTACTAAGTTTATTATTATGTGTAAAATGTGTAATTTTTAAGATCTTGTTTTCCTCCTTCTTGAGTGATTGTGATATTATGTGAAATGTTTCCTTGTATCTTGTCTTGAATATAGTCTTATAATGATGTTGCTGCTGTGAAAAATGTCAGACTTGATCTATCTATGAAGTATTATCGTATCGTATTGCTCACCTTTTTTTTGACATTTCATGGTAATATTGTTAGCATTTCCTGTGACACAACACAAATACATTTATAAGATAAGTTATACTTCATAATTAGGAAACAGAAAAAGCTTATAACCACTTATTATCAGTATGTGTTACTGCAAAACAAGACCAGTTTCCCATATAAGCTCCACAGTACATATTTCTCACCACTAGAGGTCGCTTGTCTTCTAGTTTCCCTCAGCAGCAGGGTGAGAGTCTCCTGCAGAGAGATGGCACCGTTTCAGTCTCAACATTAAAAAGGAGACGCCCTAGATTCACAATATCCACCTGTACACATAATGATTATAGGCTGTCACTGTATCTTGTGGTTGGCACAAGTGTTTGTGGACTTATCTAACCTGTAACATGTCCAACAAAGTGCAGGCTGTGTCCATATTTGCAGTTATCAGTGGAGCGATCTGCCACTGGGTGTGTGGCTGTAACAGCGACATGCTCTGATGCTGTTCAAAAGACCGAGCTGATTCCTCTGCACGATGCTACACCAGACCCCCCCTCTGCGGGAACAGTGACAGTGTGTGTGTGTTAGTGTGTGTGTGTGTGTGTGTGTGTGTGTGTGTGTGTGTGTGTGTGTGTGTGTGTGTGTGTGTGTGTGTGTGTGTGTGTGTGTGTGTGTGTGTGTGTGTGTGTGTGTGTGTGTGTGTGTGTGTGTGTGTGTGTGTGTGTGTGTGTGTGTGTGTGTGTGTGTGTGTGTGTGTGTGTGTGTGTGTGTGTTATTGTAGGGAAGAGTGGGGGTTAAACAGTGTGCACAAAGAGAGGGTGTAGCCACAATGACAGGTGGTTACAGAGTACAGGGTGGGGACCACGAGGTGTCACACTATCTCTGATGTTAACTGTCAGTCGTTATCTAAACTAGTTTATCCTCCTGTCAGATGACGAGAGAGGAAGAATATGTTATTATCACATTTTTTTAAGATGGCTCTGCACCGATATTTCTTTGGGTGTTTCACCTTGTGAATTTTGTTTAAGGTTGGATGTTCAAATGACACAAAACCAATATTATTTTTCAACATTTCCGTGTGATGTTAGGCACAGGGAAGTATAACCTATCTTGCTCATATTAGTGAATATGCCTTAAGGATGTGACATTAATTGATTTAACACAAGTTTTTATAGAAATACATTTTTTTCACAAGATTGTATGTCATATGGATGTAGTCCAAACATGTAAAAAATGTTTGTTGAAAAGTCTAATTTATTTTCAATAGTTTCCACGTCATGTGACCAAGTGACTACCAATCCAAAGTTTATATTAATACTACACTGGATTTTGGGCTTTTTAAAAACATTTTATATGATCAGTGTTTTTGAAACTCGGGTGTTCTTAGTTGAAACGTCTCTTTTTTTCAAAAGCTTCAATGTCATGTGACGCAGTGACTCCAAGTCAATGCAGCATGTTAGGCCTGATACTACGCAGGACGAGCACGACACCTCTTTCAACTGGATTTTAGTCCGCTTTCTATTTTCTATTTCTTCAAAAATCATCCCTTTTTTATTGAAAACTCGTTAATTTAGTTTTCTTAAAGAGTCTTATGAATGTATTTTATTTCACTTTAGACCATACCCTATTATAATTGATTATTTGTACAGAACATTTCCAATGTTTACAATGTATTTCCCAGCTTACACGTGCACGTCTGATATCTTTTGGAGCCTTTCACTTGCTCTCGTCGTGACTTTGATAATGTTGCAGGATTAATACGACATCTCAATCGTACTACTGAGGTACTAAGGAGATTTTCTTACCCGACCTATTTTTTATGCTGTGTGGATTCTAGCAAGAATACATGAAAGAATCCACCAGAAAAATTAATAATGCATCTATGTTCTTCCCTGCATGCTGAGCAAGTCCCCGCTGTGTGTTCTCCATATTCAGGAAACAACAGCCAGAGAAAGTATTGATGTAAAATAGACGTTAAGGAAATGAGTTTTACATTTAGCAAGAAGTTAAATTATTAGTAATCTTCATAACAGATTTCTGCCTGAAACATATTTTTTTAGCTAATATCTAGAGGTGTGTGAACAGAAAGGGGTCGGAGCAATAACCATTTCTTCGTATTTATTTGAATAAATTACATTGACTTATCACATTGTTTTCTTTACATCAAGCATACAGTCTTAGAATCCAGTGCAAGAATAAAATAAAACAAAACAGAAAACCAACAAATAAAACAAAAAACAATCCAAAGACAATCATGTGCAGCACAGAGAATCCCTCCTTTCACATTGCTTTTGGATAATATACTGTATATATACATCTATACTGTATGTGTATACTTTTGTCACAGTTACAAAAATAAGATACGTTACTGTAGATGCGCGACTATACACACAAGGTGAAAACAAAACACAGAAAAGCTGTACAGTCCTCATTGAGGGCAAAGATACACACGATTGTTAAAAAAAAGTGAGAGAGATAAAGAAGGAAGGAATTGTTTCGCCTTTTAAAAAATAAATAAATAAATACATGACCTTTAAACTGTTATTCTTCCCCTGCCAACAAATATACTGTCTGTTAATGTTGTGCTTCCCTTAAAAAAACAACACTTAATATGGGTTTTAGTTCGTTTAGTGTAATCCTACTGAATATAATGAACTGGTCTTTTGATTAAAGAGACATCCATGTTTGTTTTAATGTGGAACACTGTCAGAAACAGTATATCTTAAACACCTCAGCATTCGAGGTCCTCTGAAACCCCGTCCCTGTGCATAACATTTACCAAACCCCTCCCCCAAAGCACACAGACTACATTACTACAAGATGGGTGAGAAAATATTGTTTACTTCTGCACAGATTACGCTGCAGAAGGGTTAATACATTGTAGATATTGCAGGAAACAAATCCCTGGGGGATGACGTGTGCACAACAGCACCTCTCTGCTCTGACTATAACATGTACTGTAATAACTGAGTGTTTTAGATTATCTTAAAGAAGGGGAGAGAAAATCCCACACAATACTGCACACACCCATAAAGCCGGTGAGGGGAAACACAATGTTTATAATCTTGCAGTTTTTCAGAGGTCTAACAAGACATGAAAAGGGTTAACCAGCGGCTTTAAGTTGTTATTATGTTGCAGAAAGGAGGTTTTAGTGTAAGTTGCATCATTCCAATTAATAAAAAAATGTCCAACAAGACAAAAATAAATTATTTCTCATTCTGTTCAGACGTTTGTGCACTCCTGTCTAGTTTTGTCCTAATCGTTGGCTCATAGACTGCTAAACTACAGAACACTATCGGGAGTAGTAGGGATGCAGTAAAAAGAGCTACGTCTTCATCTGCAGAAGAAACAGTTGCCCCAACGAGCAGTTAAGTCCTATAAGTTATTATATCACAATACACCGACCATTTTTCACACAAGCTGCTGATAAAATACACGTTGGAGGATTTGAAACTTATGCACCATAGTTTTCTTACATCACTTCAAACTGTTTAAACTTCACAACTTGTGTTTTTGCAAATCATGTCATCACTCCACTAATCACTGGCTCAGATAGGTAATGTCACATACTCAAGAATACAGCTTTCCCTCCTGATAAAAATACCAAAGAACTAGAGATTGCGAAGCTTCACCATGCGGCGTCGCGAACAGATTCACCGACATCTCGCGGTCTGGGAATCCTGAAGCTAAAATTGGCGTTGACTCTGGTTTTAGCAGGTAACTTTGGTATCTAAATCACATATAACCAATTACGTGCACATGTTAATATTTTCAAAAATAAAAATACGATAGGTAATCTTGGTTGTTAGTTATCAACTAGATAAATGTAGTCTACAACCTTTGTCAAAACTCTGTATGGTTAATATGGAGGACATCATGTGGATGCCGAAAGACGACTACCATTAAAAAGAGGACTGCTCAAAACAGAACAAAATGAGCTCAACATATTTTTTCGTAAGATAAAACGTTAAACACTTGAAACCATGCTTTGACCTAAAGTCTCTAACAAACATGAAGCACGTGGACCTTTTTTTTTTTCTTAGTATGTGAGAGAAAAGTATCTATCTACTGAAGAGGTTTCCACAAAGTACAGTGAATGAGAGAAAATTGTGATTTTGAAACTGGATATCATGACGGACTGACAGCCAACTCAAACCGAGACAAAAGCCGGGACAGAAATGGATAAAACGACTCCGTGAGCCTGAACGCACCTCCTGGGATACGGGGGAAGCAACGACATAAACGCAGATGTTTCCTCACTTAAAGTTTTTACGCTCAATCGGTGCATACTTGCTTTAATACTTCGCCAATACTCGTTCGTTTTTGTGTTGTTGCTGTTTTGACTCCTTTAGGTGGAGTACAGGATGTTGGTAGGAATGTTAAGGGAAAAAGGTTAGTGGGAATACTTAGAGAGGGGAGGACTGGAGATCTGGAGATCAAGGATCTTTTTCGCCATCGTTGCAGATACAGCTGGTAGCAGTGACGTCTTAGTGGGGCAGCGGCACCAGGATGTCCACATAGTTGATGGGGAAGAACCCGGAGTTGCCGTGCAGCATCCCCTCGTACCAGTTGTCATCGATCTTATTGGTCAGGGTGATGATATCGCCTTCCTTGAAGCCTAGCTCACCTTCGTTCTCGGGGTCAAAATCGTACAGTGCACGACAGCAGGGCTGGTCCAGCGGGGCTGGAGATAAGGAGAAGAAAATCAAAGTTAGATCACAGGATAGAGGCAAGAGATACGGTGCCGCATGCAGATTAGAGATATAAGGATTGCTTTAGAAAGGCTCACCTGGAGACCTGGCTGAAAGAGGGAAAGGGAAGAAGTGGAGGAGACAAAGCAAAGGAGACACAAAGCATGACTATCAGTGACCGCAATATATCAATGAGGCATCCAATTTTTAAAGGAATAGTTCTACATTTTCAGGAATACGCCTTTTACGCCCGGTAAGCTTAGCATTACGTCTGGAAACGGGAGGAAACATGTCTTATATACTGTAATGTAGGTGCATTGAAGCGACTATGCCCTTTTTAATGGAGGTCGGACAATTAACAAGACTTATTGCCTTCCTTGTTTCTAGGAAAACCGAAGCATATTTCCACCAAGCTGTTTTGATAAAGCATTAACATCACCTCTGTATCATTTCCAAACAGCAACCTCCAGGGTTATGCATTAAAGCCAATGTGGAAGTGCCAAAAACTGCAGTTACTCGAGCGGCCATTTGAGGCTGTGTCCTAAAGGAAGCAATTTCTATTAGACCTCCATGTAAAATGGCCAACTTTACAGCAGATATAACATGTTTAAGCATGGTACGAAAACAGTTTTGATCTCTATAGCTAACTTTCCAATTTATGTCATCTACATGTAATGGCATTTTTGATATAACTCATCTCATTAGGTCTTAAATGTATGCTTTATTAGCGGCGTTTCTGCTTTGAGTTACAGCTGGGTGCCGCCTAATAGCTTGCTGTCTGCGCTGTTGTGTGACACGGCCCTATCTCAATATCACCATTTTGTGATTGTGTCCGGGAAGTACACGAAGGCATCACGGCAAAGATGGCGACGACCGGAGAGGCCCACTTTTTGCTTCACTACGGCATGTCTATGGGTGACGTCACAGAGACTACATTTGTATTATATAAAGTGTTTATTGCTTGATGAAGTTTGTGTTTTAAGTCGAATAGACTCTATTGCCCTTTGTGGCAAACAGCAACTTCAACGGTTCTCAACAAAGCTTAAGTACCATGCGTTGGATGATAGCCTGGCTTCGTCCAACGGTAACTAATCCCACCTACCAGCACCTCTAAGGCTCACGTTACATTTTTTTTGTTTAATCTGTACCAAACCATGTTTAAAAATACAATTCACACATCCCAAAATGCTGTGCTATTCCTTTAAAAATAAGAGAAAGATGAACAATTTGAAAGAAAAAAGGGTCAAAAGAGAAACCAGGCGTTAGACAGAAACAGAAATGCAGACAAAAATACACTTCCACAAAAGTCCATTTAAGGAAGGATAACAATAATGTGGAGAGTGAGATTTTGCATCCCTTTCCAAGTCCCCTTTGCTCACCTGGAGATCTTGCTGCAAAGGGTGAAGAAAAAAGAAAAGGTGAAATAAGTGCAGAAGCTTTAAGTTTCTTTTTTCGATGGGTAAGTGATGAAATGATGGGTAAGTACAGCAGGCGGAGAAAGGAAAAGGTCAAACAAAACAAGAAGAAATACACGTTTGACGATGACTTGGCAGAGAAGGCGGACTGACAAAGAAACAGGAGGGTAGGACGGATCAGAAAACTGACAAGAGAACAAAACAGAAACTGCAAATGCTCGTCCGCCGGTAAAGCTTTTCATTGTTTCTGTAGGTCGAGCCCTCTTTGTGCGGCGAGCGGACGGCACTTGTTTTTCTGCTGTTAATTTGTACCATTTGTAACAATGAGAGATGGACACAGAAACGACGAAGTGACGGAGGAGATATTGTTATATCTCTCCAGGGATTCATTTTTGTCTCACCTGGAGATACTGCTGTAAAAGAGGGAAGAGGAAACAACACAAGAGGGAGGAGGGGAGAAATAAGCAGTAGACATATTGAGTTTCAAGTGTAAATGAAATGTATGATCACACAGACAGAAAACATGTTGACAGATAAGTTTGACCTGGCTCACCTGGAGACCTCGGCCCTGGGAGATTAAACACAATCACAAAGGGAAAAGACAAGCGCGCAGAGTAGCAGTAATTAGTTCTGGATTGATGGATATTACGTTCAGAAAAGGAATTAATGAAATGGTGGGAACGGAAAGAGCTGAGGAAAAAAAGATACGATTAGGAATCACCATAAACTCTCAAATATTTGCCTTTTTCATTTATCCCTAATGTGGAGAGCAGATAACTAGTATCCTGTTTTACAAGATATTTGTATGGAAACCAATTATGTTTCTTTAAGGCTACTAAAAAACACTTGCAATTTCTTCTTTAAAGTGGACCTATCATGCTATATTTGAATAATATAGTGTAGGACCATACCTATATAAGGCATATTTATACTTTTTTTTTTTCAAAATACCAAACAGATCATGCATTTTAGCCATGCCTCATTTTGCTCAATTTGACATTTTTTAGCTCTGTTTTTGCAAGGGCTGATTCTGTGAGAACAGCACCATCTAGAGGCCTGTCATATGTACTACAGCGTCTCCAGCGCTTTCGAACGGCAATGGCCGTGGCTGTCTCCTCCTGATTGGTGGAGTTGGCCCAATAGCCGTAGCGCCACCGTCCTGACGTCAGGACAGTGTTCAAATCTGGATCAGTTTTTATCAGATACGTTGCAGCCCCTTTTTTAGAGATTTGGGTATGGAGGAAAATAGAGAGGGTTGTGTTTTCTGACACTTGGTGAGTTCCCTGGAACACCGGGGACACATATTCATGTATAAAAGACGTACAAAAGTGCATTTTGCATGATAGGTCCCCTTTAAGATTGAAGGGGCCCTATTATACTCATTTTCAGATTCATTTGTGCATATTGTGCCTCTGCTGTGACATGTTGACATGCTTTAATGTTCAAAGAGGTCTTTATTTTTCGAATACTGTGCCCAGTCTGATTGGTTAGCTGGCCGGCTCTGTTGTGAGTGGTCAACCGCTTAGAGATTTCCCGCCCCTTAGCCTATCACGTACAATATGTTGGAGCACTAGTTTAAGCCTTTAAAATAATGTCTATCATTGTGTTGTGTATTTATGTCTGTCCATACTAATACTTGTTATTAGGCGACTCTGTCTCTTAGAAAAACATGAACTCAATGTGTCGATCAAAGTTCAACTATATCTGATCATATTTTAGTAAGACACCTTTCTCTTTTTGTGTCTTTTATTAATTATTCAAACCGCGAGCTGTTTATCCACACTACACAGCATTTTGACATTAAAAGGCTTCTCGCACATAATCATTTATTTTTCCTGGAAGGCATTTATTTTGAAACTTCAAGTGGAAAGGTTGTATTTCAGTAGAGTGATATTAAGAAACTAAAGTCACATAGACCAACATATATCAGTGGAAATTATGAATATGTTGTACTGGTTAAATATATTGTGTAAATGTCCCCAACTAACACCAGTTCTGGCTTTTGTTTGAGAATGTATGGTGCAAATTAAAAACATAGAAAGGTTGTTAAAGGAAAGAAGATCATAAATTGAAACTAGACAATGAATGATCCTTTACAGACAAAAGACATTCACAAATTGTTGTCGTTCACATCAGTAGATACAGCAACTCATGAGATTCACAGTCGCTGTTGACAGTACCCTGACAGTGCTGACAGTATGATTACCATACAGGACCCTGACCGTTTTCTGAGTGAATGTCCTCTAGTTCTCACCTGGAGAGCGAGCATTGTGGATGCCTCCATTGTGGTTCTCACTGATGGAGAAGTCCAGAGACGTCCGGGCTTTAGGAGCATACTCTTTCCTCGGTTTGACAGAAGTATCCTTTATCCTGCCGTAAAGTAAAAAACACAGAATCCATCAAGCCACTAATGATATAGATAAACATGAACCACAGTGTGTTTCTGGGGCAATGTAGCATTTGAAAATGGGTGTGAATTGTCGTGTCAAGTTATCATATAATCATTTAAAACATATAGTGTTATACTCAGATTGCCTTTTACACTGTTAAATTGTATTGTTAGTCTTGTATGTGTTTAACAGAGACATATGTTAAGGATTTACATTTCAGGAGGGCAAAAGGAAGTGTGAAAGGGGGATATGCAAATGGTTAAGGACGAGGGGGTTTTATGGTTAAATGGTGGGGATGTTTAGATGATGCCTAAGGGAATTTAAGGGTTGGCTATTCTCTCTTTCTGGGTGCAAAGATAAAATGGCTCTGTTCCTGCATTTGAGATCCACTTCACTTGTACATTGACTTTCGACACAGGAAGTACTAACCGCTCGTCGATCTTGCTTGAGAGCTGTGTGAGGATCTCAGCGGCGCGGCTGTGGTACTCCACCTGAGCGTGCACCAGAGCAGCCAGCTGGCTCACCTGCTCGATCTGTGAGAGAGGAGCACTGTTACACACTGACGCCATGACACCTGGCACACATCACCTGTGAGGAGGATAGTTGAACGAGCTCCCCATTGATCAGGAAATCAGAGAGTCTGCACACACCCCGTCGCAGACTGAAAACTCAGCTGTTTCCACTGCATCTTGGCTTTAAATAAATACAAATAAACTCTTCTGCACGTAGCACCTAGAAAGGATTTGGCTTTAAGTGAAGCTATTGCAGTAGCACTTCATCTGGTTGGGTTTATAGATAGGTAATGTACCTTCAGGATTCATGCTTCAGAGTTTGTAATTTCGTAATTCGCTTTGAACACTTTTGGATTGATGAATGTAATGTAATGATTGTTTCTGAGCCCTTGACTCAAATGTCCTATAACGCAGATTAATACAAATAATGTGTTCTTGGAGAATTAACAGCAAAAACACACAGGACAAACTGGCATAGCAAGTAAGTGGTTATTGATTATTTCATGTTGAATTTTCTTTACACAGAACATCTATTGCATGACTCTTGTTACTCGAACTGAGCTTTCTTTCATTTTGCTGGGTTTCTTTTGAGAAGTTTTTCATTGTCTGTTGCAAGACAGACAGTGTCATATTCTGTACAAACTGTAACACCCCCCCCCCCCCCGAGGCTAAGTTGTGATTTTGGGTTATATAATCAACATGTCATTGATTGATTGACTGTTACTAACACATACTGGGTGGAAGTTGTCAGTTAACTCATCAGTAGGACTACAATCTCCCCGCTCATGAGCAGCTGTTGTGAAGTATTTGGTAGCATCGAGAACTTTGTCAGTAGATGATATTTGCACAGGAATTGTATATGTATTTCAGTGTGGACGAGAAGACCATTAAATGCTTATGAAAAAAGGCAATCTGCAATTCAATGACAACTGGACAGAACTTGATCTGCAGAGGAAGATGCGTAATATTATAGAAAGCACCAGAACACCAACTCATCGACCCTGTGGTGAGATTTGTTTGTACACATATAGGATAAACTAATATTTCTTAAAGTAGTAGCAGAAGAAGTCAAAGAATTGTAATGGTTTTAGGGACAAAAAACTGTCACAATGCCTTTAAGACAATGACTTGCTTTGTTACGTTGTTATTCTATGTGTATAAAATGTAGCAGGCAGCAAAGGGTATTAATGGGTCATTTTACAAATTGGTTATAAATGCTGCCACAGCAACAAAAGAAAGTGTAGATAGTACAGTGTATCATACAGTTGACAGAATAAACAAAACACTAAAAACAAACCAAAAGGTAGAGTAAGTCTGCGGGGAAAGGGACAGGTGATGAGAACATCTTACGTCGCTCTCTATCAGGTTGAACATGCTCTGCTCAGCGATCTCCTTGGAGTCGTCAAATTTCTCTAGGGCCTGTTTGAGCTCGTCGTCTGTGCATTTGCCCTGGCGCTTCTTCTTATAGTCAAAGTCCAGACGACGACCCTCCATTTTCTTCAGGTGATGCTGCAAATGGAGGAGAGTAAGAAAATAAACATGAGTCACAGATCAAGAGATTTCTTAGGTAACTGCTTGTTTTTGCATCCGTACCTGAATCTCCTTCAGATCCTTTTCGTGGAGGTTCTGCATCGGATCGATGAAGTTCTGCTTGACCTCGATGTCCAGAGCGTCCTTCACCTCTCCAAGCTCACGCATGGCTTCCCCAGCTTCAATCAGAGCACCGCCTGAAAAATAAAGACTCATTTAGACACTGAACCAGAACACATATATATTACAGTCACTCTCTCATTCGAATCCACAGACTATTTTGAAGAAGGTATTTCTCTTTCATGCCACCGCTGGTGAACTAAATAACAACTCTAGTCAAAACAATGGGCTCATGCATATTTAATAACTTTGTTATGAGTCCTTGAGGGAACAAAGTGATGCCACTTTGTTCTAGTGAAGCTAAACAAAGAGTGTTATTCTCTCTGCGAGGAGCTTTAATGTGCTGCTGCTCACCGAAGTTAGACTCCTCTCCGAGCTCCCGGCCAAACCGCTGCATGGACTCTCCCAGGATGGCCTCGGTCTGCGTGTAGCCCGGACCCTTCTCCTGTCCCCGCATACGGGACATGGAGTTTATCATGCTCATCTTGGCTCTGGTGGCTGTGGAGAAAGAGCACTAATGAAACCAAACACCACTGCTCTAACAATTGGAGATTTAAGATTCAAAGGCTTTATTGTCATATAAGAGCTACAGTGCAGTTGTTGGAAATGAAAATCATATAATATACTTGAGACCGTAAGAAATACTATACATAATATACAGGTGCAAATCAAATGCAGCAATAAGTAAGCTATGTACATGTCAGATAGAATAAGTTCAAACAGAACATTGAGGCCATGTTTTAAAACAATGCCTAAAAAAATATTCAAAATGTTTTAAGTCATTTCTTAGTCTGACTGCGGTGTGTTTTGATCCATACGAATAATGTATGTGATGGGCCACCTCGTGTCTGAAAAATATTTAGTTTGTAGACACAGTTTAAAAGGCTATTGATCATCCAGTGGAAACCTTTTAAATCAACTCTGTCTGATCACACTCATTGGTGCCAAACAAGTCAAGCTGCTCTATATCAAACCTTGAACCTGACGTAGACTATAAATGAATATGTGAATATAAGTGAATGTAAAACTAACTTTATCCTGCTGGTTATCTGTGTGTACAGAGGCTGCAATTCCCTCTGACACCTTTACTTAACTGTGCCTGACTCAGCCTTTCCCCTCTGCCACAGGCTTTCTTTTTGCATGTTGTGCTGTTAAATTACCACAAAGCGTACGTAGTGAAAGATGTGTTCAATCTGTGAATCACACCTGCCGAGCTGAATCACACGGGTCCAAAAATACCTTGTTTTCAATTAAATGATATGACAGTTAAAAAACAGTCCTCACATCTGTGTGTCTGCTTAAATGGTACATGGTGTATTTTGGGAATGTTTTTTAGATCGTCTTGTATTAGTATATTAATTACTTTTAGGAGAATAGCCTAACGTCTGACACACTAAATCACATTGTCATCCTGCCTGTCATCACCTGGGTTCGGCTGCAGATACTCAGTAGTCTTAGTCATGATGTCCAGCACTGCCCGAGCGGTGGTGTCCATTTTCTGTAAAGCAGAATGTAAAACATGTAGAGACAGAAACAAGCTGCAGCGGTAACAGTTGTCTAAAAAGACGGTGGTAGAAACACAAACAGGTAATGGCTGAAAGCATTGTGGGACAATAGAGACAAATTCCTTTATGCATGTAGCAGTGAGAGAAACACCAGATAACAGAAGGTGTTGTTTTGTTCTGAAGTGTGAGAGAGGCGGGCAGAGCGAGAGCTGCCTGTGATGTTCTTGTTTAGTGCGTCGAGACTCGAGTGCTCCCAGCAGCTCTGCAACACTCAGCCTCTCTTTCTGCAGCACACTGAGATACACACACACACACAGCATCACGTATAACCATACAGTCTGTGGTTAAACACACATGCACTGACATGTGGTGATGCTCAAAAGTACTCACATTTACATTCATGCATAATGATAATATGGCTCAGAAATTGATTTTTGATTTTTTTGGGAAAAGTGATGTAGGCCATCAATGTATGCGAGCATTCACGGTTGACTCCCCATTAAGAGCAACAACATGTGTGCAATTTATTAATATTTTAGATTTACTAAATGTCCTGAGAAATCTTTCTGATGGTTCTTTGCGTTTGATCTTCAAATAACTTGTAATTCCAACATGACAGCAAGTGATAAACACACAAGTCCCACAAGATTTGTAAACTAATAACAAGATAAAGCGTGAGTTTTCTTTCCAAAGTGATAATGCAAAGATTTCAGACTTGCCTTCTCCATTTCAGTGAAGTCGTCATCGAGCTTCGTTCCTTCTGCCCCTCCGACTTTCTCACTCACTTTCTGCAAAACAGACACAACACGTTTGTTAGAAAAGCTTTAATCCGCTTGGCAAAATGATGATGTGAAAATATGAAACACTGCAAATTCCAGAAAGGTCAATCCATTTCTCCAATGCTCAAAAGTGAAATGAAGTTAATACTCTATCTAAAGGTCGTGCCAAAGTATCATCAAAAGAACTTCATCTTAAATATCGCACATACACTGCAGAGATCCAATAAAGAAAGAAAATCCCTTTGAATAGAAATTGTACGATTCCTTTCTGAGTGTCTGTTGGAAATGCTTATATAATTATATTATGTACGCACACTGAACTGTAGTCTGACACACAGGTTTATGAGATAATAAGGAACTAATCAGATGTTGCTCTTTATTCAATTACATGCTAAGTGACTTGATACAAGAAAGTGGTTTCCCCCGTCAGCATGTGCAGAGTGAATCAGTCTGTGTGCAGCGGGTCGCAGGCTCTCTACTAAGATAATGTCCGACAACATACACACACATATCAGCCTGACCTTGTGCTTCATAGAGCAGAAACCCATTTCATTAATGATTATACTTTGATGTGAGCCTCACCTCTCACTGCATCAACACCAGTGCTCGCAGATAAAACAACGCAAGTGTCACTTCACATCAGGGTTAATGATCTTAAGGAGGTTTGACCTGACATGAATGAAGTGTGTGTGTATGTGTGTAGAACTGCCACACTATTATTATAGCAGAATATATTTATTTCAAAGGTAGAGAGCCCTTACTATTAAACAAACACCGTCTTCTTGTCTTGTTCAAATGTCAAGTCAAGTTCTGGGCAGTACAGACACATATTGAATGTTTTTATCTAAGAATGGTGCATTTTAATTTCTTTTAGACGACTGAAAAGATAGATATAAGGTTCAGTATTAAAGAAACTATGTTTGTATAGCAGAAATATGCTTTCACTTCTTATTCATCCTGTGAAGCCTCAGATAAACTCCTCATGGATATATTCAAGATTCAAAGGCATAAAGCATATTCACAATAGTGCAAATACCTCAATGGTGCAACTACAAATGTAACATAAAGTAGTAAAATAAACTGTGCACATATAAATTAAAATAAGATCAATCAAAAACTGGTTTGTCAACAGATACATGTGCTATAAATAAATGGGATATTACAGAGCTGAGAACTCCAACAACCTCATGACCTGTGTGATGAAACTGCCCCCGAGCCTGGTGTTTTTTTTATATATTTCTACCAACATATTTGTATGCACACACACACACACACCCCTCAATCTAGACTCGACAGGCAGTGTCCGACCTCAGGCAGGACAGGGTCAGGCTCAGCAATGCAGAGATTCTCCATCACTGAAGCAGCAGAGGAAGAGATGGAGAATGGGCAGCAACAAGCTGAGAGCGCTGGCTCTTATAGCTTCAGACATGGCACAAGTCCACGTGCGCAGATATATAAACATAACTCCTGTGGGCTCCTGTCCTCCCCCTGTCTCTCTCTGGCTTACAATATTTGCAGCTCTGCCACCGTGCCGCTCCAGTCTGTGATGTAACCAGATGGCTTGAGAGGCCAGAAATCTGACACAACCAGGCCAGACAAGCCCCTCAGAGGATGGGCTGCAGGGAGGGGACATTTTCAGGGAACGTCACGACGCGTGACTAAAGGATCCATGAAAGCTAAGGTCATGGTGAAGTCTTTCCTCGAGTGAAACAATGACAAATCACATTGTGCAGTTTTTATATCTTTCGTCTTTCCCCGGGATGTCATTTTCTTCTAATGTCAAACTATTAAAACATCCTGAAATAGGGAGGAAGATTAAGCGAGTTAAAGAATAGCGGGGGCAGAGCGTGATTGGTGACAGAGTGAGTGCGGGGGTTATGTTATAAGAAATAAGCTGCACAAGTTTATGCAGCGTAAGACTTTCTGAGGATTGGTGCTCTATGATTTATCCGAGCAAAAAGTGTCTTCACTTGTGAAACAGCTCAATTTTCTGACAGGAATGCAAAAAAAAAACCCCACACACACACACACAGTCTGAGTCCTGCAGCGAGCCACACTTCCTGTCAGTCGCATCAGCGCATCACTACAATGTCTTCAAATCATCCTTGAGCTTGTTGCCATGGAGACAGCTACCTGGATTATCAGGTGCTGTGTTTTTTTGTCGTGTGTGTGTGCATCCTTTTCTTCTGTCAAACCTGATGCTCACAGACCAAAAAGACACACGAGCTGTGACATACTGTATAGAGGTGTTCGTATCAGATGTTTGCCTGTAAAATAACACGGCGTACCGTCAACGTGTGACGCGGTCCGTGTTCATTTTTGTGTGAGATGCATCTGTGCCACCACGAGACTAACATAGTGACACTTCTGGTGTTCATCCAAGCCGTCTAATCACATACTGAACTGCATCACACCTGGGAAACCATGTGACTGCGGTTACATGTGCATTACCACTTGGTCTGATCCATATATACGTGATGCGAATGTACAGACTGCTCCTCTGGATAGAAACTGGTGAATACATTTCACATTGACACACAGGCTTCATGAATCATCTGCGCTGATGTAGTGACGGAGAGAAGGGTTACATCAAAGAGAAGTTTATTTTTTCTTGTTTAGCCCTTATTAGTATTTTTTTATTTCAACAGCATGAACCAGTGAGTCATGGCTGTGCCTAATGACACAGTCACTATTTTGGTGCTGCTGGAGGATATTAGCAATTATTATTTTCCCTACAGAGAGAATTAGTCCGATGTTCTGACCCAAGATGGTGATTAATGTTTCACACCAGGTTGAACAGAGAGAAAAAAGCTTACAAATGACTGACATTTATATAACAACTATTACATGTATGCAGGGAGCAGAGTAGGTTTACTTGGCTTTGCATCCAACATTAAGCTGTTAATTGATGGCTGTAACTCGAAAGAAACTGGTGTCTAAATATCTCAATGTTATCAGGAATTACAAAATAAATGGTGTATCTGCCCCCTTGATCAGGATCTACTACGACGTTCAATGGGTTCTTCCTGTGGCCGTGCATCACCCTGTCATCAAAGTTGAATTAAAATTGGCCAGTAGTTTGACTGTAATCATTGTGATAAACAAACTGAACTGAAAACAGGTTGTTACAAATCAGGGCTGCGTTTAGCCATCATGATGTTTTCAATTCATCTTAAAATGTGTTGTCAATGAAGCTTGAAATCCTTGGGAATAAAATGGTAAAATTAAGAAAAATGTCATATAGCACATCGTTTGTTTTAATCTACCAAGTGTCCAGAAACCAAATATATTGAGTTTATAATACATACTAGAAATCCTCATTATTGAAAAGCTAGAACTGGGAAGAATGACTAAAACCATTCATTAAATACCAAAACCGCTAAAATCACATTTCCTATCAACCACCATTACATTTGATTTGATTATAACTGCAGTATAAATGATCAAACATTTTTACCTCCTCCACAATTCTTCTTGCCCACTCAGCCCACATGGACAGATGAAGATGGAAGCATTAGCAGAAAACCTGAGCCAGTTGCCAGACATTTTCCGACTGAACTCGACCACATATTGTTCCTCGCACAGCTTCACATTTCCGCCTCTGAATCATGGCCTATTTTGGGAAGGGAAACAGCCCCGTTAAGCACTTTCGATAATTACCCCATGAACACCTACATGCATCAAAATGTAGGTACTCGGTAATCAGCAAGTAAACCTGTAGGTAGAAAGTAATACCTCCGTCGCACAAACATGTCATTTGCTGGTACTTTTGAGTATGTGAGTCCCAGTGTAGACTTAATGGAAAAGAGCAGCAGCAGCAGTATTTCTGAGAACAAACTATGGAAATACGAGTGACGCAGGACGACTCACTTCACACGGTATTCAAACCTCTGAATTCAGCCATATTTATCGGTGTGCCTCTCTGTGTGTCCCACATCTCTAAATCCCTTAGCTTAGAGAAGGGAGTCCAGGGAGTCAGTCACTTATTTCTTAAGCTAAATGGATGAAAAACAACTCAGTCAAGTGGTGCCTGTGGGGAGATGGGTATATCCAGGCAGGGGGAGAGCAACTGAATGAATAAAAATGGGCTGTTGGTGGCTGTTTTCAGTAAGTGGAGCAGCACTGCTGTGCATGCCGCTGCCCATGGCTGCTGTCAACGCACGCTCAACCCCAGACACCAGAGAGGAGAGCAAAGACAGAGCCAGTGTTGTGCTTTCAGGGCTGCAAGCTGAGGAGACGGCAGTGATGAAGGGAGATGCATGCCAAGAAAACGTACACACACACACTCAGAGACACTAAAGGACTATATAGCATGTCACAGCCAATAACAGCGGCACTGGTGATTGATCCTCTACTCGCTGTGAGTTACACATCTCGCCTAACAGCCAAGAAATCTAAACAGCAACGTCACGGTGCTTTTTCACATTGCTGATTTGTTTTTGTCCCCCATTATCTGTCCCCTCGTTTCTCCAGCCATCACTCTCTCTCGCCACCCTCCCATTTCTCTCCCTCCCTGCAGGGGAAGGACACAACAAGGTGAACGGCACAGCAGTGCGAAGTGAACCTTGAAGGGATGAGTAAAATGCGCAGTTGGCTGCTGGGAAATAACAGCAGTTGCGTAGATTATATGTAATCTGGGACGTCACAGGCTGCTACGTCACACACAGAGCACTCGTAGTTAGGGCTGTGCAATTAATCGTATTTTAATCGCAATTACGATTTTGGCCTGCCACAATTACGAAAACAACATAATCGAAAAAAACGATTATTTTGCTTTGCTAGGTTGTGACTGCACTGCAACATATTTGATCTAATTTATTTGTATTTATCATATTTATATATGTTTAGTAGCTTGTGGAAGTGCGCTCCAAAATATTTGTTGATCTTGTTTATTGGTATTTATTATTTTTGATATTATTTATTTAAATGTAGATTTAAATGTATCATTTTTTAATTTATTTTTGTATTGGTTTTTCAGTTGAATTATACGTTCAGAGAAATCAACAGTT